AGAGAAATAAATTCCATCCAAATGGGGCTACAGAGAGTGTATGAAGTGCACAATAGTCCTGTTACTGGACTTTAAAAATCATCCACATCCTGTTAAATCTGTTGTATAAACTGCAGAAAACTCTGACAGCGACTTCTGGAAGTATAGAAGACTTAAGGCAAACAAAACAACATCAGACCTGGACCAGCAAGTCGCCACCTCAAACCCCTGGTAAGCTGGAGGAGAAATAAATTCATGTGCATCACCGAGATCTTGAATAAATAAGGAGAGCTGGAGACTCTGCTCAGCACTGTTTCTAAGTGTTTATTTAGGAGCTCCCTGCTTTTTACACGAAACCCCTGCAGCTATGCACACTTGGCAGTTGGCAGGCAGAAGGCCATGGTGGAGGGAGGCACCAGGATGTCAGTGAAGATGGGTCGGTATCCGACGGGAAGAGGGGGAGCGCTCTGCTCCAGCAAATCCAGTACAGCCCCTTTGATGTCCCGGGAGACGTCGCCTCGGATTTCCAGCAGCACGGACACGTGCTCCTCACTGAGAGAACGAACACAAAATCTTTTACTACATTATTCACCAAAGGAAATGGACCGGTTCTTATCCAGCACTCAGAGCACCTTACACAACTCACCTCATTCACACAAGCTCTTACGTCTATGTAAGTGCTTTCTATGTAACATTCATGCTCTGATGGATGCTTGGGGTAAGTATCCTGCTCAAGGATCTTTGGCTTGGGCAGGGATCGACCCGCAGATGACCTGCTCTACTTCCTGAGCTACAGCCACCCCAGGAAGACTCATTTAATTTCACAATGTGTCTTTAAGATCATTTTAAATCGTATAGCATCGCTTTGGTGATTTTTCTTTCATAATGTCACTTGATTTTAGCTTTTCCTTCTACAATGTTTACACTTTTGATCATTCTGTTTTATATATGAGTTTATTTATTTCGTATTGATTTTTCTCACCTTTTCACCTGACGGCGTTACTTTAATTCAGACCATTTCATTTTTTCTAAAATCTAATTTTTATTTAGTTCACATCACCTTATTATACTCTTTTTTCCATAAATGTCACACTTTATGCCTTGTTTAATATCATGCCTCATGTCTCACAGCCTGAAAGTGAGTATAGACCAGGGTTTTAATAGTTTTGCAATTTTCATTAGTTTTTATTTTTATTTAGTTTTGACTTCAGATTTTCAATTTTATATCAG